CTCAAATTTATCCGCCATGTGCGCGTGTTTGCTAGAATTACGAAGAAATTGTGCAGGATTGGCGTGGTCGTGTTTCTAGGATCATAAAACGTGTGAACTTGCTCATGCACATGCGCAGTTGCCTGGAGCACATCCGAACACGGCACTGGTGTGTAAGTACCTTATTTTGGAATACTGTCTTTTACCAGTTTGTAAGTGTTATGTAGAATGTTTGTATGCACAGAAGCATAGCAATAACATATGTAACATATGTATGATTTGCACATGTATGGCAGTAGTAGAAATATGATTCTAGCACTTGCAATTTTTTATTATAGTGGCGTGCAGCCGATGGCGCATATTACACGACACGCGCGTAAGTAAATACATAAAAACGCGCCATGCCTGCGTGAAACCGCGCCATGATGTGCGTGTTCGCTTGGTAAATGCATTTTTGCGGATTAAAACGCGCGTGCAGTTAGTTTGCTTTTATTCTAGAGATAACAGTTTTTTTGTCATTTTTGTAAACCGTTAAACTCTTTGGCCTTTTTATTTATACTTAAAAGAGAACCACTGTCCCCATGGGCAAAAGTGAGCATAATCTTCAGGATGAAAATGCCTATTCTGGACATGAGACACCTGTGGTTTACAATAAGCAAAGCTTATGTTTAAAGTGAATTTCTATTCCAGTATCACTTCTTCATTACAAAATACATAAATTATACAACAAATCCATCAAAATTTAAATCCATGTGATTCACTTGTCTCATTATCTATTCCATTCAGCCAAGATAACCGCAAAGGATGCATTTATTCTAGATAATGTGATTTTGGAGAGTCTAATTTCTCCAGAACACCTGCTTTTCAATGGAACTAATAGAGGAGCTATTTTAATGAACACATAATGGGTATTACTCATTCAGTCATGAGTGACTTTAATCTTATTTTGATTAAGAGCATCAAGATATAAAACCATTATAAAAAATAATTTATCAGGTCAGACAAAAATCTTTAGACAAAGTCTCTGCTTTTCTCTTTACAAACACGAACAACAAGAAGAAGAAAGTGAATTTAGTGAAGTGGATATTTATCAACTCTCATAAAGACATGTTACAGCTCCAATGTATCAGCAGCAAAGATAATAAATGTTATGACAACCACTTTATATTAAAATGTGAAGTGACTGGGAGCTAAGTGTTTTGTTTAATTGCCAATTGGGAAAACTGATGTATGATTGTTTATTTACAATTTAATATAAATTCATGAGAACATTAACATTGAGAGACCATCCTATAGAAAGTGACCTCATTACTGTGGGAATATCTTAATTTGATCTCTAATGAAATATGTCAAGGGCATTACGTGGCTCTGCATTTCCTCACAAAACTGTCGACCTAAGTTTGACGTTGAAACTAAGGGGTCTATTCACTAAGCTGCCTTGGGCAGCCGAGTGACTAACCGACCCGAAGCGAAGTGAGCCGAACTGTGTTCGGCTATTCACTTCAGGCTGGTACGGCTGATTCCAGCTGTATATCGGCTGAAATCAGCCGTACAATCAGGTAGCTTCGGCTGGCTACGGGTAGGCCGAACAAGCTCAGCATGTTCGGCCGACCCGAAGTGCAGAAGCAGTTCGACTCAGCCGATCCAACATCTGGATCAGCTAAGCCGAACTTCCAGCAGGCTACTCGCTGCTGTTCGGCCTATTCTCATAGATGCCGAACAGCAGTGAGTGAATAGCCAAATGCCACCGAGCAGCATTCGGCTTGGCTGTTCTGCTCGGTACCTCTGTGGTACCGAGCAGAATAGAAAAACAGTTTAAAAAGTAGTAAAAAAGAAAATAGAAAATGATTGGGCAGAGCTAGCATTGACAGCTAGCTCCACCCAACTGTTTTCTATTGGCCGCGCGGTTCTGCTGCCGTCAGAATAATTAAAAAACACCATAGGATAGCATAGCTATATTCCTATCGGCTATTTCACTTTTTTTTTTTTTTATTCTGATGGCAGCCAACGGCTCTGTTTTCTGGGACTCCCAGAGCATCCGGGAGAGTAATGACAGATGGCCTTCCTGGTTACCAGGTAACCAGGAAGGCCATCTGTCATTACACATTGAGAACACGAAGAGGCCACTCCCTGTGTGTAATGACAGTGTCCCTGGTTACCTCATAACCAGGGACGCTGATCTCTCTGAAAGTGGCCGGAGCCAGCCGTGAGATGACGGCTGGCTCCGCCCAGCTGTCAGAAGCAGGCTGTCGGCAAGCCAATGGCCAGCCATTTGGCCGGCCATTCAGCCAGCTTCGGCTTTCACCGCGGCTCAGTCGAGCCGAGGCATATGCCTTCGGCTCAACTGAGCACCTTGGCCAACTTCGGGAGCTGTAAGGGCTATAGTGAATAGCCCGTACAGCAGCCTTTCGGTTCTACTGAACCGAAGGGGTCCTGGGGCCGATGCTAGCAGAAGGATCAGCCGAAGCTACGGCTAGATCCTTCGGCAACTTAGTGAATAGACCCCTAAATTTATGAGGGGAAAGTACAATGACAGAAAACTTTTACAGCTTTCTCCTTAACCCTTTCACTGCCAAGGACGTGCGGCATATGGAGGAACAAAAGTGTTCCCGGCTGGCAAGCTCCATATGCCGTACGGACCTGGCATTTACAGTTCTACTTATAGTAGAACTGTTCCCCCGGACTGTCCCCTTCAAATTAATAGCTGTCATCAGCGGCTCATCCGCGGCAGCGGCCCGGGCGGGCGGAGGGGGGGAGCTCCGGTGTTTGTAAATAACTGGGGACACATAGTACTAGGTGTCCCCAGATATGAAAGAACAGGCTGTGATATAAATAAATAGAAAATGTAAAAACAATTAAAATAAAAAAATGTGTACAAAAAAAAACTAATAAAAAGAAAACACAACCCCTCCCTCCCCACATAACATACACATATTGAGGTGTATGCCATGCACATGCGCTGCAGTGCGTTGTTAGAACACATTGCAGTGCATGATTTTTTTAATGTATTTTTTTTCTTTAACCGCTTGAAGACCAGGTGTTTAGACCCCCTTCCTGGCCAGGTCATTTTTCAGTGTTCAGCACTGCGGTACTTTGACTGACATTTATTCCGTCATGCAACGCTGTACTGAAATGAATTTTATACCATTTTTTGGGGACAGATAGAGCTTTCTTTTGGTGGTATTTAATCACCACTGGGGGTTTTATTTTTTACTATATTCAGGAGAAATTACTGAAAATGTTGAAAAAAAAAAGTTTTTTTTTTACATTGTTATAAAACAATTAATATTACCCACTTTTTGGGTAAAATATAAAAGATCGGGCCACGTCGGGTAAATAGAAACCAAACATGTCAAGCTTAAAAAATTGCGTGCACTCGCGAAATCGCAAGAAAATTGCATACCCAAAATTGGCCATAGGTGATGCTTTAAAAGCTTTTACAGCTCATCAGTTTAGTGTTATCAGTGACTGATGGCCCTAGAATTATTGCTCTCATTCCGACGTTCGCATCGATATGCAACATGTGCGGGGTAATTGGCGCAATCGTCGTTTTCGCAGGTATGCGCACCTGGCGCATGTTTATATGCGTGTATGTACGGATGGGGACTTTTTTTTAAAATAGTTTTTTTTTGTTCTTTTTTATGTGTAACTTAAAAAAAATTTGGGGGGAAACTTTAATTTTTTTCCCTATTTTTTTTTCCACTTAACTTTATTGCTATCACGGAGGGGGCTGAGAAACCCCTCTATGTGATAGCAAAAGAGGAGACAGGTCCTCTTTATGGAGACATCAGGGGTCCTGTGACAGAGGCAGTATGCTGACATACAGCAGGAGGGGGGGAGCCGCGGAGGGGGGGCACACGTCACGGGACCTCATACAAGCGATCCGCTGGGTCTATAGCCGGCGGATCGCTTGTATATTAAAGGGCATCACTGCCTGTTTTCAAATGACGGGCATTTCCCGCTCAAGGGCGGATGTAACAGGACGTGTATACACGCCCAGCTACATCCAAGAGGCTCCCGGCCGTGTATACACAACGACCGGCCGGGAGGTAGTTAAACATTTTTTTATTAACTGTGGCAGGGCATGGCAAAGCTTGTGACGCATTGCCATGCATTGTGATCTTTGTGTTGCAATTAAATATACACCTGTATCATTTTATCACAACACAAATACCAAAACAAATTTTTAGTACAGTAATTTTTTTTCCTTTTCGCAAAAAGGCGCAATTTCAAATTTGCAAATATTTGTTATTTATTAACTCAATACAGTTTTATCTTTTGGATTTAGTCAGAATTTTTTTTTGTGCACTTTTTATTCTACCGTGCCTGCACTTTCAGAAAATATATGGTTTGGGGGGTCTTTTACAAACGCTAGCAACCCAGCAGTTGAAAATCAAATCAATAGGAAAAAATTGCAAAAATGGCTTGGCCAGCTGATTTGAAAAATGTTCCGGAGGGCTTGGCAGCGAAAGTTAGAAATAATCTAGATAATATACAGTATGTTGAAATATTTATGTTCTAATAATATAAACTGTATTTACTCCTAAAAGTCTACGTAATTCATACAATAAAAATGTATTTAAAGTAAGGCTTAAGGTAAACAGCTAAATACACAGAAATGCATACAGGTTTACTGTTTTACATACTAAAGTATATGTATTTTTTTCAGACATTCTTGTGTTTCTGCACATTTTGCACTCCTACACCAGTAAAACACACAGTTCCTAATAAAGCAAATTGTCTTCCTAATTCAGCAATGCAACTTCCTTTATTACCTCTCTTCCTCCAGCCTTCTCATTGGAACTTATTACAGTAAAGCTGACTCAGGAAGATGCAATGCTAAATCAAAAAGTAGCATAGTGACTATACTGACTGGCAGTGGTATGTATCACAGGAATAGCTAGCCAATAACTAGTAAACATGTGCATTTCAACCATGTATTTAGCCTTTTGTCTGGAGTTCCACTTTAAATTACCAGGACAATGTTTATGGTTTGTTCTCAAAAGGAACCTGTGAGGGTAGAAAAATGGCAGCCACAATTGCTGAGGCAATAGAAAGGTTGGAGGCTACCTGAAATATTATAAAGTACATATAATTAGATTCCTTAAGAAGCCAACTGTGGTTGATTTGCATTGCAGAAACCCAAAAAGTTTTGTTTTTATATATACTAATATAAGATATGTATAATTGAGTTAATGGTGATGTTAATAATAAGGTGGCTGAATAAAATGTAAAGCCTTGCTTTGGTTTTTTTAGCCTAAGCAACTAAAGATGACATGACAAGAAGGGAATTGTTGAGACATCACATGACCTATTCTATTCTTTGGAACTTTACATAGCATAGTTTAAAAAAAAACCAGAATGGGCACTGGATAAGCAGACATTGTGTATTTAATTAATAAAATGAAAGATTAGCCAGATCAAAATGGTGAATATTGGACAACAGTGCAGGGCCATATTTACCATATTGGAAATACAGTGAATATTGCTGAAACCAGAATTTATCATTACACAATGGCAAATCCAGAAGTTATATGAAAAGGACTGCAAATACACCATGGAGAATGCGCTTTATAACCATGCTGAAAGACCCCTTTGGCGAATGAGCTGTGAATTATTGTCAAACTTCTCAACTGGCACGGGGACAGAGACCCTGCCTACTCTTTATTAAAATATTGCAACTTACTAAAATAATAGCATTGTATAAAACATTAGACATGTTCATAAGGATTCGGACAAACCTGCAAACCAAAAGAATTCAGTTGAAATTCAGTTGATTTAGCAGTTCGTCTGAATCCGAAATAATGAATTTATTATATGCCTGGATATACAAAAACTATATTTGGGCATATACACTGAGTGGCCAGTTTATTATGACCACCTGACGTTTGTAGGCAAATTAGCTATAATTAGCTATAATTTCGCGCTGAAGTTGCTAGAGGGCCAGACCATTATAAATAGGGAAGCAGGTTGTTTACCACGACAGTAGAAGTTATTTTTTTCTGAAGTTATGAGTAAACAACGCGATTTAACAGCCTTTGAACATGGGATGATTGTTGGCGCTCGGAGCCATGGAGCGAGTATCAGCAAAACAGCAGAATTTGTTAAATGTTCAAGAGGGGCTCATTGTTAAAGTGTTCAAAGACTGGACTGTCAACCGAAAATCTGGGTCTGAATGTGCGAATTGTGGACGTCAGCGACTAGTCAATGTTAGGGCAGAACGGAGAGTGGCAAGACTGGTACAAGACAACAGAAGGGCAACAGTGCAGTGTCAGATTCCTCGCATCACCTTTCAACATCTCGTGGAGTCACGAGGCGGCCCAACGAAGTCATCTTGTGGAGTTATCTCGTGGCCCAATGAAGTACTGATGGAGTGGTCATAATAATCTGGCCACTCAGTGAATATATATATATATTTGTTTGCAATATGGCCACCATTTTTTAGGCAGTGCGCATGATGCTACATGATGCTGCACATGCGCAGTGTTGGGTGACATCATACGCATGTTTGGGCTGGTCTCACCCAAAGATGCGTATGACGTCACCTGACGCTGCGCACGGTGCGGCTTCATGTGTGATGTCATGCACTCGATCTCCAAGATTGTTCCAATAAGGCTGTTCTGCAGTTTCAATGTGTGGTTTTGGATTCAGAAGTTCCTTGCCTCCAAATCTGAATTAGCAGAAAAATTTGGTTCGTTCAACGAAATGAATGAAAATGTTTTTAGTTTCCGTTTGTTTTGTCCAAAACAAATGTAATTCCGTGCACATGCCTATAAAACACTAAAGCTGTCGATAGATTGCTATTAACCTCTGAGACAAATTAGCCATGAGTGTCTAGTGAGTTCTCAAGCTGGCTATAAAGAATAACCCACATATTTAGGGGTTTTATCATAACAAGCAATAGGGAGCTTTAACACAAGGGGGTTGATTTACTAACCTTTTAAACACACCACGAACGTGTATACACCTCTGTAGTGTGTTCCCTCCCAGCATGATCTATGGGAGGAATCGAAACACCTTTGTAGTGTGTAAACACCCAGCAGTTGTGTTGTTCAAAGCCCTGAAATGAATTGCAAGGTAATGTGGTGTAAATTAGCTCTATGTATGTTGCTTGCGTTGATGAATGCAGGAATGTAAATGCATGAGCTAACCATTTTTGTCTAAACTGTGAAGCAGCATTATATATGCATCATGTGCATGATTTTTCCATATATGGCATTAGTGGAAATATGCTTTTAGAGACTTTTTGGTTGATAAATAAGTTTTGCTGTGTGAAAATCACACACACCTGGTGTGTGTGTGTGTGTTTAGGTTAGTAAATCAACCCCAAGATCTCACTGACCTGGCTGTAGGCACTGTTTATCAATTTATCCTCAAAATTCACAGCAGAAACATGGAAGTCCTTATCGCTCATCAGCTCGGCTAACCTTGCCAAGCAACCCATATCCCTCCCCCATGAGAGTAGGCTGAAATGTTGCTGGTGCACTACTGCAAGGGGAAACAGAGGTCAGTGAGGGCTTGATTCAATACTCATATACTGTAGTGCTTACTAGGATTATAGCATTGCTTACATCTCTGTAGTCTGGCAACATGTTCACTTTAAAGTCAGTTTTCTGAGTGTAATATTCAGTACAGCATTTTAGAACACCACAGTCTGCACACTATGATGTGTCATTATCTAAAAATTTTAAACAAGCCTTATTCAATTGTTTTTTTTTTCTAATAATGCATTTGTACTACTTATCAGTACCTTTTCTGTTTTAATTCTTTGTGATATTGGAGTAAATCGTTGATCGAGTTCAGACAACTTGATTTCTGCTATCTTCTTGCATTTATCACCACGGTTTGTCATTAGCTCTGCAGCTTGGTCATGTATTAAATCCACCTTCGGCTGAATATCATTCAGCTCAGACTTCAGTAGCTGCAGTCCAATGCAGAGAAAGTGAGAGATCAGTGATGAATATGATGAGAATGGCTTCAGATGAAGTGTAAATAATCAAAGCACATTTTCTTTAAAGCTGCTGAGATAAGGTACATTTGCAAACATGTTCTTACACTAGTGAGCTGCCTGTTTCATTATGCTGTAACACAGTGCGTATTTACTTGTCATTTAGCATTGTCACACATCACAAAGTCAGAACAGACAAACCTTGCCTACGGTAATCGTCTTTATGTCATTGGGATTAATTTACTAAAGTTGGAGAATGTTCATTTAGCTCAATGGACTTCAATGATCCAATCATGTGCAAAATAAATTTCTCTATTTTTTTAATTTAACTTCACATGATTGGGTTATTGAAGTCATTAGTAAATATAGTTCACTGGTCTAAATTAACATACTTCTCCTTTGGCATTTTCACTCCTACACCATTTAGGGTACCTTCACACCAATGCACTAAATGCACATTGTTTAAATTAGTGCATTACATGCTATTAATTTCTGATGGTACCCCTATGCACCTCCCTATGCATCTCCACAACACACTTGCTTTGCAAAGCACTGAAACACAAGATAATACAACATTGTACATTGTGGTTAACGGCATTGGAAAAAAGTTCAGATATGTGTTTTCATTCATTCTAGTGTGTGCACATTAAGATAACATAATGTTGACTCAAAGCACCAGAACGGACAGGTGTGAAGCCAGCCTAAATCTGACTGACATCACATAACATCACCACATATACATTTTATACCTGTATATCCCATATAGCAAGGATAACTTGCCACAAACTTGTGGCAGGGTTAAATTGTAATTCTTGTTAACTTGCTGTACACATTCCTCGCAAGTTGCAGACTTGCAGAACACTTGCAGCACAAGTTCTAGTTGACACTTTTTGAATTTGTAGCAAATTTGCTTGGCAAGTCTACAGCAAGAGTCCTGCAGGTCTTAGCAAGAGCTCCGCAAGCTCGCTGGTCTGGAGACTTGCAATGCAAACTTGCTGTAATTGTGCAACACAATTGTGAAGCTTGGCAAGTCTGTAATAGTTTAGCAAGTCATTTTCAAACTTGCAGCTCATCTGCTTGCTATCTGGGATGTTGCATTCTGAAATAAAAATCAATTAATTAGAATTTGTTTAACACAACATGACACTTTGAATGTTTAATATATATTTATTTTTTGAAACATAAAATCTATTTGCCTCCTGGGTTCATTATCGGTAGCAACATTTTTGGCAGTAATTATATATGTGAGTTTTTTAGGGTAACTCTCTACCAGTTAATTTTGTATTCTGCAATTCATTTTTGCCAAAATTGCTCCAGGTCTGTCAAGCTGGATGGTGACCATTGGGGGACAGCAATTTACAAAATGTGCTACAGATTTGCATTTGGATTGAAGTCTGGGCATTGACTAAACCAATCTGGGACATTAAGGTAATAATTTTAAACCTTTGCTGTGTAGCTTTGGTTACCTGTTTAGAGTCGTTGTCCTGCTGAAATATGACCCTGCACCATCACAGTGGGGATGAGTAAAAATCCTGATTTTGGTCTCAGTCCTATTCAATATGCCTGCTGTGTCTCCAATATGCATTTAGCAAACTCCAAAGGATTTTAATATGCTTTTTTTCCCAGAAATGTACTTATTTTTTCACTTTTGGGTTGGAATAGTGTCTCCCATCTGACCTATTAATCTCAGCAGATTTACATTAACATTTTGGTGCTTTTCTGACTAATGCACTCCTTACCTAGTTTCTGGGTCTTGGTCGACCACCATCTCGAGCACAGTTACAACTGTGCCATTTTTTACATTTTATTATACAATATATTTAGAATTGGTGCAGGGATATTTTATTTTATACATCTTTGACCCTCAAGATGCTGTTTGTCTGTATAATATATTTACAAGTGGTGTGGATTTTTTTTATTTCATAGATCTTTAACCTTAAAGATGCTGTTTAACTACTTGCTGACTGAGGGCCTGTTCACACGACGTCCGTTTTCTGTGCTGACCTGATCCGTACGCTCCTGCACTAAAAATGCATCCCAATTTATCCCTATGTGTTTTATGGGCTACAGTTCTCACGTGCGCAGTCCGTTCAGCTTACGACAGAAAAAATACTGCATGTCACATTTTGTACGGTCATGAAATGGTCCGGAAACGCAAAACGCAGCAAAAACACGTAAAAAATGCAGTGCACTGCAGCTAACATACTGACAGCCCCACTCCAGGGAAGAAAAAAAATTGTATTTTTTTTTATTTTTTACTGGAACGCATCAAAAATGTGGCAAAAACTTGGCCAAAACGCACTGCAGATCCGCACCTGATCAAGGCCTGATATCATGTGAACAGGTCCTGAGGTATTCCTGTCCAGGCCATGTTTCAGTATTCAGCGATGCAGTACTTTGACTGAAATTTATTCCGTCATGCAACGATGTACTGAAATTAATTTTATACCATTTATTATGGACAGATTAAGCTTTCTTTTGGTGGTATTTATTTTATTTTTTACTACATCATGAAAAAAGAACCAAAAATGTTTTTTATAAAACATGTATCAGCACCAAAATGTTTGGTAAAATATCAAATACAGGGTCATGTCAGATAAATAGACACCCAAATATGTCAAGCTTTAACCAGTTGACATCCGCGGTGCTAAACCCCCTTCCCATCCAGGCCATTTTTCAGTATTCAGCGCTGCGGTACTTTGACTGACATTTATTCCGTCATGCAGCGCTGTACTGAAATGAATTTTATACCCTTTTTTGGGGACAGATAGAGCTTTCTTTTGGTGGTATTTATTCACCACTGGGGTTTTTATTTTTTTACTACATTAAGGAAAAATCACCGATATAAAAAAACAGTTTCCCCTATATTAAATGATAAAACATTTATTATTACCCAATTTTTTGGTAAAATATAAAAGACGGGGTCACGTCGGGTAAAAAGACACCAAACATGTCAAGCCTTAAAATTGCGTGCGCGCGAAACCTCAAAAAACGATATAATACCCAAAATTGGCCATAGTCGACACTTTAAAAGCTGTTACCGCTCATCAGTTTAGTGTTATCAGTGATTGATGGCCCTAAAATGATTGCTCTCACTGCGACGTTCGCGGCAATATGTAACATGTGTAGCACAATTGTAATTTTTGCGCGCTGGGGCACCGGACGCGTATTTACGTTTATAGGCGCTTAAACGTAGAGTTAAACATTTTGGGGTTTTTTTCCCCCTTTTTTTATATGTGACTTTTATTTAACAATAACAATCCCCCTATATAATATCAAAGGCACACTGACAGGTCCTCTTTATGGAGACATTAGGGGTCTCTAGGACCCCTAAAGTCACCTGTGGACCCCAAAAGAAGCTGATGAAGCAGAGATCTGCTTCATCAGCTTCTTCTCTCTGGCTATAGCAGCCAGATGACTGAC